ATACGACAGAACCATGGATTCTGACGTGGAAAGAAATTCACATTGAAAAGAACCATATTTGGGCAGCACCTGTGGCTCAGTGGGTAGGGTGCTGGCCCCATATACCGAGGGTGGCAGATTCAAATCCGGCCCCAGCCAAACTGCAACAAAAAAATAGCGAGCATTGTGGCAGGCACCTGTAGTCCCAGCTACTTGGGAGGCTGAGGCAAGAGAATCGCCTAAGCCTGGGAGTTGGAGGTTGCTGTGAGCTATGTGATGCCATGGCACTGTACCAAGGGCAATAAAGTAAGACTCTGTCTCTACAAAAAAAGAAAAGAACCATATTTTCCTGAACTCGAGATCACATATTCTTGGGATACTTACTAGGGGATTACTAGAGAATGTTCCAAATAGAGAACCTTGTCGCAACCCTCTGTTCAGTGCACAGCTCCTATCTATGTCCAACTGCTTTTTAGGCTGGAAGTGTGTTGGTTTAATCACAAATAGCTCTGGGCATAGAAATAAAACACTAGGAAAACAACAACATAACCAGGAATGTGTTCCCAACATACTCGAGGGTGGGGACTGAAAAAGCAGCAGAGTCTCAGGTTACAAGGATCAGTCCTGCCTCCTCCAGTCTGGGTGAAATGATTCTCTCGACTTCTCAAGGACCTGAGCTTTCCCTGTGTGACCAGCTTGGGCGGGGGGCGGACCTCCTCCCTGCCTCCGACAGCAGGTGCTGCTCCTGTGGCTGCCTGCACCCAGCATCACCTCCTGCCAACTCCCTCCCACTGTAAGCTTTTGGAATCAATTTTCTTCTCCCTCTCTAGTCACATGATGGGTAACTGCAGAATGCAAGAGCCCTTTGGTGACAGTACAGGGCAGATACGTGTGTGGATAGGAAGGTAACCCTAAAGCAAGAATTTGTTTAATGGATCGCCAGGTTGTAATCTGTAAAGATACTTTGTACATTGATTTCTCATTTGGAACCAAGATTCTCGACCTGAGTGCGCCTAGTCAACTTGGGGAATAAATACTTTGTGATGCTTCCCTTACTGTTCTGCAATAAAACCCAGAGATAAGGTTACCTCCCTAGACACCTGACTTTTAAAAACTCCATGTACTCTGAGTATGAAAGATATATAAAGGAAAGTAATTGCTATTAAAACAAGTATTTGTTTCAGCCCAGTGAGTCCTGGCCATGAGAATTAGGAGACACAGGTGTCCCCGATGCTGCCTCCACTGTGGCAAATGCACAGGGGCGTGCTATCTGGTGCCCAGGGACACGGGTACACTGCTGCTGGGGTGGCTTCCAACATGCTGGCCAGCTCTTGGTCACTTCCAAATAAAACAAATTACTATCCCACAATTGGCCCACTTGTTACGGTCCTGGAAAATTCAGCTTATAACACCATGCAGAAAAATGCTTTATGTCATATGTAAAATGGAGATAAATTCAGATTCAAAAATTATAAACAGGGTTGTGTTTATATGAACACCCATTGGGACCTTCAGCACTTGTGTGAGGAACAAGGCTTCATTCTATGGAACAGTCCCACACACCACAGAATGTCTAAGAGCCCAGACCCTGCTCAAATAATACCACCCGGGCCCACAAGCACCATGTGGGTCAGACTGTCCCCAGGGCAGCACCACGTTTGCTGAGAACCCTGGTTTATGGTGTTTTCTGTGGCCCCCAACCCAGATGATGGAGAGCTGACCTAGTTGTGAGACCAAAGGATGAGGCCTGGAGGACCAGAGCTCATCTTGTTGGCCCCCTCGTGTCCCCCAGGGGTGAGTTGCCCTCAGATGCTCAGCAATCTAAGACTTAAGATAATCCAGGATGAAAACTAACATTCCCCTTTCCACAGGATTTTGCTTTTTTGGTTTTTGGGGGGACTTTTTGAGATAGTCTTACTTGGTCACCCTGGGTAGAGTACTGTGGCATCATAGCTCACAGCAACCTTGAACTCCTGGGCTCAAGTGATCCTCTTGCCTCAGCCTCCTGAGTAGCTAGTACTACAGGCACCTGCGACAACACCCAGCTAGTTTTTCTATTTTTGTAGATATGGGGTCTCATTCTTGCTCAGGCTGATCTCGAACTCCTAAGCTCAAGGGATCCACCTGTCTCGGCCTCCCAGAGCTAGGACCACAAGCGTGAGCCACCACACCCAGCCATACAGTTTTTATTTATTACTGGAATTAGAAAGACACTCTTGTGTCCAAGAGTGACAGCTCATGCCCTTGACCCCAGCATCTGGAAGACCCAGGCAGAAGGGTCACCCGAGCCCAGAGTTCAAGGCTGCAGTGAGCTATGATGATGCCACAACACTCCAACCCTGGCAATAGAACAAGACCCTATCTAAAAAACAGCTACCCTTGAATGTGTTTCCCTTACTCAGTATTTCAAAGCAGTTGAATGACTGAGAACATTCTCCTCAGGGGATCTAGGGTTGTCAACACTCCACAACCCTGAGCCTCAGTGCCAGGCAGGGTGCAATCCGCTATGCCCACCCGCTATGCCCACAGGAAGCCTGGACTGCTGCATCAAACAGACCAGAAAGACTCCAAGATAGCATAAGACCTTTCACAGGGTGCCCAAAAGAGCGATTTCTTGGAGCAGATGTTGTCTTATGTTGTTAGTAGCTGGCTGATTTTCTCTCTGTGTTCCCTAGGGGGCCCTCAGGAAACGGGTGGCTGTGGTTCCAATGCTGCTCACACCCACACAGCCAGGCCTCCCTCTCCACCATCTGCTCAGGACAACCAGGCCTTCCCTCTGCACAGGACAGCCAGGCCTCCCCTCTGCTCGGGACAGTCGGGCCTCCCCTCCACTCAGGACAGCCAGGCCTCCCCTCAGCACAGGACAACCAGGACTCCCCTCTGCTCAGGATAGCCAGGCCTCCCCTCTTCTCAGGACAGTCAGGCCTCCCCTCCACTCAGGACAGCCAGGCCTCCCCTCTGCTCAGGACAGTCAGGCCTCCCCTCTGCTCAGGAAAGCCAGGCCTCCCTTCTGCACAGCCAGGACTCCCCTCCACTCAGGACAGTCAGGCCTCCCCTCTGCTCAGGACAGCCAGGCCTCCCCTCCTCTCAGGACAGCCAGGCCTCCCCTCCACTCAGGACAGCCAGGCCTCCCCTCCGCTCAGGAAAGCCAGGCCTCTCTGCCCAGCCAGGGCTGGTCCCTCCTCAAGACTTAATGAAGACTTGGCTATTTGATAATTGTCCTTGGCAAGTATGTTCTGGTGGTGAGTTGGGTATTTTTAAATTTAATTTGGCAGGTGAAATATTGTGAAAAAAACATTTGATTCCACTAACTTCACAACATTGGCTCTCCAAATTAAATTTTCTCTCAAGTCAAGTCCTGTTTCAAAAACATTGCTTGTTAAAACGTTACTTATAAACGCCGTGTGTTATCAGGGGCAGAGATGGGTGCGGAGAATAATTCCTGTGTCCTGTGATACAGGGTGATGCTCTGGGTCCCTGTGGAAGAGGGGACATCAGCTCCCTGCTCATCTCTGCCTCACCCAGCACTGAAAGAGCAGCCAGATCTCTGCAGACCTGACTCGGGGGCCTGGACAGAACCATGCCCTCCAGCACCCGAGGAGACACCCGCAGGGCCTCACACCCTGCACCCCGCAGGCTTTTCTTCAGGAGTCATTTCCTCTTAACTTTAGACCTACACAAACAGTTTAAACACCAGGTGTCAGAGGCTGCAATTTAGAAGAGGAGGTTGGACTGCTCAAGGCCAGTGCTGGGCAGCAACAGGAAGTCACACTGATGGGAAGGGGGTGACACGACACTCAAAATAAACAGTAGCCTGGGCGGTTCAACAAGGGGACAGATGGGCTCACCCCACACACACACAGGGAACCTCCCTATGACACAGGACAATACAGTGACCAGTGAAAAAGAAAAGTCAAGTGATTCTCAATGGGTTCTCAACACAGCAGACAGAATCCTAAACTGTCAGATTTGTAAGGGAGCGCTGGCAAAATACCTTTCTTTTACAAATCAGGACACCATGATGGTGGCCTTGAGATGGGAGCCCAGCCTGACCAGCCAGTGCCCTCCCACACAGACGAGCTGACAGCAGAAGCTGCGGAGGGGAAGGGAGGTGGCTCCTCGCTGATCGCTGCCCTGTCACCCTGTGACAGCTCTGTCTTTCTTCCTTGAACTGATTTCACCCCCTTCAGAGGAGAAGATACCTGCTGTCTTTATTCACAAAAGAGGGAACTACCATCCTCAGCATGTGATGAGAGAACCCCAGGGTCAGCCCCTAACAAAATGGGGCCGCAGGGAGAGCTCCTGTTGAGTCCCCTCCGACACCCTCCTCCGTCCCTCCTGCTGTGTCCCCAGCTGTCTGAGTTCTGTCCTCCAACTTGTCCCACCCATAGGCAGCACCAAATAGGAAACTCTCCCAACTCCCAGAAGTCTGGTGTATTCTCCAATCTCTAATTAGATCTCTAATTACAGCAAGGATGCGGCAATATTCCAGAGTTTTTCAAATAGAAGTGAACACAGGCATTACTGGGGAGCTTGTGAAAACGCAGGCTCCTCGTCCCCACCTCCTCATTTAGGGTTCAATAGATGATTCTGGTTCACTGGGGCCCTAAACCACTTTGAAAAACAGACAGCTCCTGCTTAGCCATGTGGCACTGTCTCCGTGTACACCCCCTGCACCCAAATCCTTCATACTGTCTCATGCCCCATGTCTCTACCCAGCTGATTCCTCCTCACTCCTCAGATGCTCATCTCGCAGTCACTGGCCTTACACGTCCAGCTTATGTGGCCGACCTCTGCTGAGGACGGGGTATGTGCTGTCTGTCTTTCCATCTCGCCCCTAGCACCTGCCACGCTGGGGGAGGCACTCTGAATGCTGCTAGACTAGTGTCTGCGTGTGCAGCCTCTCCTTGTTGGTAACTCGCAGTTTATCTATATTGGCATCTTGTCTCCACCCCACAATACAGCACAGCACTTGCACAGATTGTAGGAAGGCGTCACTCAAATGAGGAGCCTTCTGCAGCATGGAGAAGCTGAGAAAGAAAATCATTACTGAGCAATCCAACCCCGGTGCCATCAAGGGGGGTCACCCTGACTTGGCCCCTGTTCACTCAGGGTATCTGACACTTGAGGAACATGGTGAGGACACAACGAGTGGGAATTTTTCTAAATCCAGATCAGTTCCCAAGAGCCCAATCAATCCACAGCACTGCCATAACTACACATTCAGGTTAAAAAGTTTCAGAGCAGAGATCACAGCTGTCTTCAAATCAATTCATACCGTAAAGCTTTGTGTATTTGTTCTAAGACCCCAGACACTCTCCGTATTTTCTACCCAAGATTATTAAACACCAGGAGGCCAGCTCCCTGCCCAAGCCCATCATCTCTGTGTGTTTTCCTCACAGGCGTCTGCTATGCAGAGTTTGGTGTCCGAGTCCCCAAGACCACGGGGTCTGCCTACACCTACAGCTACGTCACTATTGGGGAATTTGTGGCATTTTTCATTGGCTGGAACCTGATCCTGGAGTACCTGATTGGCACTGCGGCCGGCGCCAGCGCCCTGAGCAGCATGTTTGATTCGCTGGCCAACCACACCATCAGCCGCTGGATGGTGGACAGCGTGGGCACCCTCAACGGCCTAGGTGAGATAGCCACATCCTCTCACCCCGCCACACACACTCACCGCACCCAGTAAACGAGCTCCCTTTTCAGAATGCAGTGGGCAAAATGTACCAAGAGCCTTAAATATCTTTGTTTCTGCAAAGTAACTCTCTCTGTGAATCTAAAAAAAAAAAAAAATCTAATTTCCAAAGCAGTATAGAAAAAGATGTTCATCACAACCTTATTTATAATAACAAAAATTTAGAGACAGCCCAAATATTCTACAATGGGACAAATGATTAAGTAAATTGCACATATTATGTAGCTAGCAATTAAAAGATAGTGAGGAAGACTGTTGTAATAATGTTTTAATGCAAAAGTCCTTTAAAGAACAGACTGGATCCTAGGCAGAGCTCAGGAGGGTAATATAAGTGAGGGGGTGCCAGGCAGAGGCTCCCAGAGCAGACACCGTGGGACCTCAGGCACTGCTGCTGCCCACTGTCCGCCCTGACGTCTGAAAGACCTTCACGCTAGAGGAAGCTAATCGATAGTTGAGGCAGCTCTGGGGTCCTGCCTCAGCACTTCCAAGGCATGATTCTGTAGCTGTGTCGAGACCTTTGATTTTGGTGTCTTTATCTCTGAAAAATTAACAAAAATGCTGACACAGATTCCCTGATAAGATAAAACTATAAAGACCACGTCTGTCCCATACACACATACGTATGAGATTCTATGATGTCACAGAATCTTGGCCTGGAAGAGCCCTTCAAACCAGATTGTCTGCGTCCTTCACATCACAGATGAGGCCAGGGAGATGAGGCAACTGGCCAAGGCCCCAGAGCTGGCCTCAGCCCATGCACAGCCGGCTGTGGAGGCCAGCCTTCTCCACATGCAGAGGGCAGGAGCCCACTGGCTGCCACATTCAAACAAGGGAACTGAAAACCCCTCTTACCACGGTTTTCAAAGACATACATCCTTAAATTTGCTAATAAAGGAAAGTTGTTGGAATGGAATGGGAATTCTATAGACTATACACTTCCCAATGAGAAAAATAAAAATAATTATCTAATGAAGTGTTAGACGCGTAAATACGTCCTGCCCCAGGACAGTTCTGACTTGACATGTTTTGTGCTATGGTTCCATCAGCACTGTTGTAATATCACACCCATACCCCAGTTTGGGGTCCAGGATATCAATCCTCTTGCCCATCTACCAAAACCTGCCCATTTGCAAACAGACACGGTGCAGGCACCTCCAGGCACACGCACACCCACACAGTCCCTCTTCCCCCCGGCAGACTGACCCTTACTCAGAACTGAGCGAGGGTGCCCCGAGGTGGGACCAGAAGCTGACACCGCCCTTTCTTCCCTCTGGACAGTATTAAATCATGCCTCTCCCCTCTAGGGAAAGGTGAAGAGTCATACCCAGACCTTCTGGCCCTGCTAATTGCCGTCATCGTGACCATCATTGTGGCCCTGGGGGTGAAGAATTCTGTGGGCTTCAACAACGTCCTCAATGTGCTGAACCTCGCGGTGTGGGTGTTCATCGTGATTGCCGGCCTCTTCTTCACCAACGGGAAGTACTGGGCTGAAGGCCAGTTCTTGCCCCACGGTTGGTCAGGGGTGAGTTCCTTCCTAAAGCCTGTCACACACTCTGCCTCCCACTCAGTGACCAGTCAGAGACAGAGACAGATTTTTAAGAAAGTGTAGCTCCATCCCATAATCACTGTGACATTCTCTTTAACACTTTTTCTTGTTTTGTTTTGTTTTTTTGAGACAAGTCTCATTTTGTCATCCTTGGTAGAGTATTCTGGTGTCACAATTCACAGCAACCTCAAACTCTTGGGCTTAAGCGATTCTCTTGCCTCAGCCTCCCAAGTAGCTGGAACTACAGGCGCCTGCCACAATGTCCAGCTGTTTTTTTGGTTGCAGTTGCCATTGTCGGGGGGGGGGGGTTGTTTTTTTTTTAGCTGGCCCAGGCCAGGTTTGAACCCGCCACCCTCAGTGTATGTGGCCAGCACCCTACCCACGAGCTACGGGTGCCGCCGTCTTTAACACCTTTTCATCTAAATGTTCTGAAGAAGTGGTTCTTTTTTTTCTTTTCTTTTCTTTATTTCTTTCACCAGCATTTGTTGAGATCCTACTTTAGACAAACAACTCTAGTAGATTCCGTGGTGTTGGCCACTTGGCAGTGTGCCCCATAGAGTGCTAAGGGCTTTGCATTTAATGTCTGATTTAATCATATCCATTAAATGGAGAAGATATTTAACTCTGGTCTTAAAGATGAAAAAACTCCCATTCAAAGGGCTTCAGGGACTTGCTATGAAGCACATATGTTAGTGGCAAGCCAGTCTCCCTGACTCCAGAGTCTGCAGAGGGCACTCACTTCTGCAGGCTGTTCCTGCAGTCTGAGAGACGCATGTCCACAGAAGACACGACAATAAAAGAGAGTAGGGACCAGCACGGGCGAGGAAGGACTAAGTTCTTCTTAGGTACAGAACTGGGGAAAGAATTGTTTTTAAATCCAGTGCCAACATTTGATCCTGGAAGGAGAGTCCTGCTGGGTTCTGAGGGCAGGTGAGTGCTGGTTACAAGTCCTGTTCCAGACCTGGGGTCCAGGGCAGGTGTGGTCTAGGGGTCAGTCAGCAAGAGAGTGAGCTGGACCAGAAGAACATGTTCAGACCTCAGCCCAGGATGTGGGGTGTATTTCATGATAGAGAAGACTGGAAGGCCAAGTGGAGGCCAAGGTCTTCATGCTGACAAGTAGCTCTCAGTTGTCCCTGGTCTCTGTCTCTGATTAACTAAAAGTGGATTTATTGGTAAAAATCAGTGGTCTATTTTTTTTCCATTATAAAACATAAATCAGAAAATTTTTGAGCTGGCAGGGATCTTAGCGGTCACCTGGTCCCAGATGCTCATTTGGCAGGTGGGGGACCTGAGGCCTAGTGGGGCACACCTGCCGGACAGGTGGCAGGGACAAGCCCAGGGTTCCACACACTTCACTTCTGCAGTTTTTGCTTAGACTGGTTTTCCTCCAAGATATCCAGGGATCAGAAATCTCTCTTGGAGAAGACTCAAAACAACTTCTGCTTGTCCTGACCATGCCACGCTGCTCAGTGCAGAGAGGTCAGCATGTGAAGCTAAGATCTCTGGTCTGTGGCTTACCAGTGAGAATCCCACAGAGCACAGAAACCATCCCTCCTCTTTGAAATGAGTAAATGGTTAAAACTAGGAGAGACAAAGCAACACTGCTGCTCCACTCTGGATCCTCAAATCCATCATCCTCTGATGTAAATTGTTCCTTTCCTATCACACCAGAGAAATAGCAAGTTATAAGAATAAGAAGAATGGAGCTGCCTTGCGTTTTCTCCACAGCTTAGAAAACGTCCTCACCATTGTCTTTTTTTTTTTTTTTTTTTTTGAGACAGAGCCTCAAGCTGTCCCCCTGGGCAGAGTGCAGTGGCATTACAGCTCACAGCAACCTCCAACTCCTGGGCTCAAGCGAATCTCCTGCCTCCACCTCCTAAGTAGCTGGGACCACAGGCGCCCGCCACAACGCCCGGCTATTTTTTGGTTGCAGCCGTCATTGTTGTTTGGCAGGTCCAGGCTAGGGATTCAAACCCGCCACCTTAGGTGTACGTGGCTGGCGCCTTAGCCGGTTGAGCTATAGGCCCCGAGCCCCTCACCATTTTCTTAACAAAATAAGAAATTATTGGGCCATGGACTTACTTGTAGACTTTGCCATAGGTTAACTTCTATGCTTTCTGCTTTGTTAATCTAGTAAGCGGAAAAACAAATTGCACTAAATGTTTGCAAAAAAGAACAAAATCTTGGAATTTGTATGTGCACTTTGTTCTGACTGGCCACCATTAAAATGCAGGAGGAAGGTGCCAGTGTTGCGGTGCCGGCGCTATGTCCGGTGAATGGAACCGCACTCCTACAACCCAACTTTAGAGCAAGTGCTGATGTCCCCACCTTAAAAATGGAGACTGCAAGGCTCAAGAAGCAGAGAGAGGTGGAGAGGGGCTCAGAGAGGCTCAGAGAGGCTCAGAGAGTCTGGGTAACACTGGACCTCACTCAGTGCGGGGCTGAGATTCCTGCTCATCCGTGTGACTCCAGATTCTTTCCTGCATCTCTGTTCCCTTCTGAGCAAAACACATCACTGAGGTGGTGAATCTGACAGGTTGTGTTTCCCCCAATCTCTCAGCTGTCCTTTCATGTCCTGGCTCTTAAGACCTCAACGTTCCCTGAAACATTCAGAGGTGGTCTAGACGCCCCTGCTCATCTCCAGAGTGTATTAAGCAGACCAGGCTGCAGCGTGCACTGTTGGTGAACACACCCTGTCAGTGCAACTGGAAACCTGTCTTAACTACACAGTTCATATTTAATTTCTAAAATCCTCCTAACAGCTCACCCAAAAGGCGCACTCTGCGCTTTAGATGCCATGTAAAGACTGGGAAACCCTAACACACTCTGCGTAAATGCCGCTCAGCCCATTCTGAAGGCAATGAAGGAATCATGTGGCTTTTCCTTTCATGCTGTGTTTTGTTCTGAGATCTTTCTTCTTCCGGGGGGTGTCCCCTTGCCCCTCGAGGCCCCACGTCCTTCCTCAGCCAAGAGCCAGCCTCGCCAAGAAAGGAGCTGACCAAGCCCCAGCAGGGACCCGCGTTTGTACTCCTGGGTCCTCACTAACTCTTGTACAAGATCAGAGGCCAGGCACAGAAAAAGGAGGGAAGGTGCCTGTCCTGGCCTCTCACTTCTCTGTGACAAATTCGTTCACTTGTCCTTTTCATTTACTCTTCACAACAGCCCTGAGAAATAAGGACAGTGCCCTTTGCATTTACGTAGGAACAGCTGAAGCTTAGAAATTTAAAGTCACAGATCTAGATGGCGAATGACAGAGCCAAGATTTGATCTCAGCCCTGTATGACGGAAGACCTATGTCCTCCACTGCCCTGAGTCTGGGACTGCTCACAGCTCTCTGCCCTCACTCTGACCCGAGCCTGTTGGGGCCACTCACTGCTCTCTGCCCTCACTCCGACCCGAGCCTGTTGGGGCCACT